ATGGCCCAAGTGCTTGGGCCCTGCATCCCATGGGAGACCAGGATAAGTCTGGCTCCTGCCATCGGATCAGCGCGGTGGGCCGGCCGCGGTGGTCATTGGAGGGTGAACCAACGGCAAAGGAAGACCTTTCTCTCTGTCTCTCTCTCTCACTGTCCACTCTGCCTGTCAAAAAAAAAAAAAAAAAAAAAAAAAAAAAAAAAAAAAAAAAAAAAGAAGGAATAACCTCCAATGGAAAAATCTTCCATGCTCATGGATTAGAAGAATCAACATCATCAAAATGTCCATTCTCCCAAAAGCAATTTATAGATTCAATGCAATTCCAATCAGGATACCAAAGATATTCTTCTCAGATCTAGAAAAAATGATGCTGAAATTCATATGGAGGCACAAGAGACCTCGAATAGCTAAAGCAATCTTGTACAACAAAAACAAAGCCGGAGGCATCTCAATACCAGATTTCAGGACATACTACAGGGCAGCTGTAATCAAAACAGCATGGTACTGGTACAGAAACAGATGGATAGACCAATGGAGCAGAATTGAAACACCAGAAATCAACCCAAACATCTACAGCCAACTCAAATTTGATCAAGGATCTAAAACCAATTCCTGGAGCAAGGACAGTCTATTCAATAAATGGTGCTGGGAAAACTGGATTTCCACGTGCAGAAGCATGAAGCAAGACCCCTACCTTACACCTTACACAAAAATTCACTCAACGTGGATTAAAGACCTAAATCTACGTCCTGACACCATTAAGTTATTAGAGAACATTGGAGAAACCCTTCAAGATATTGGCACAGGCAAAGAATTTCTGGAAAAGACCCGGGAGGCACAGGCAGTCAAAGCCAAAATCAACTATTGGGATTGCATCAAATTGAGAAGTTTCTGTACTGCAAAAGAAACAGTCAGGAGAGTGAAGAGACAACCGACAGAATGGGAAAAAATATTTGCAAACTATGCAACAGATAAAGGGTTAATAACCAGAATCTACAAAGAGATCAAGAAACTCCACAAAAACAAAACCAACAACCCACTTAAGAGATGGGCCAAGGACTTCAATAGACATTTTGCAAAAGAGGAAATCCAAATGGCCAACAGGCACATGAAAAAATGTTCAAGATCACTAGCAATCAGGGAAATGCAAATCAAAAGCACAATGAGGTTTCACCTCACCCCGGTTAGAATGGCTCACATACAGAAATCCACCAACAACAGATGCTGGCGAGGATGTGGGGAAAAAGGGACACTAACCCACTGTTGGTGGGAATGCAAACTGGTCAAGCCACTATGGAAGTCAGTCTGGAGATTCCTCAGAAACCTGAATACAACCCTACCGTTCGACCCAGCCATCCCACTCCTTGGAATTTACCCAAAGGAATTTAAATTGGCAAACAAAAAAGCGACCTGCACCCTAATGTTTATTGCAGCTCAATTCACAATAGCCAAGACCTGGAACCAACCTAAATGCCCATCAACGGTAGAATGGATAAAGAAATTATGGGATATGTACTCTTTAGAATACTATACCGCAGTAAGAAACAACGAATTCCAGTCATTTGCAACAAAATGGAGGAATCTGGAACACATCATGCTGAGTGAAATAAGCCAGTCCCAAAGGGACAAATACCATATGTTCTCCCTGATTGGTGACAACTGACTGAACACCAAAAAGGAAACCTGTTGAAGTGAAATGGACATTATGAGAAACGGTGACTTGATCAGCATAGCCCTGACTGTTAATGAACAACTTAATACATTATCCCTCTTAGTAGTTTTTTTTTGGTCTGTTCTACTTAATATGACTGGTTTAATTCTGTAATTAATACACAGTTATTCTTAAGTGTTGAAATTTAACTGAAATGTGATCCCTGTTAAACATAAGAGTGGGAATAAGAGAGGGAAGAGACGTACAATTCTGGACATGCTCAAGCTGACTTGCCCCAAATGGTAGAGTTAGAAACATACCAGGGGACTCCAATTTAATTCCATCAAGGTGGCATGTACCAATGCCATCTCACTAGTCCCAGTGATCAATCTCAGTTCACAATGGATCATAATGAAAGGACTAAGAGTCAAAGGGAGCACATAAACAAGTCTAGTACCTGCTAATACTAACCGATAGAATAAATAAAGGGGAGAGTGATCCAACATGGGAAGTGAGATACACAGCAGACTCATAGAATGGCAGATGTCCTAAACAGCACTCTGGCCTCAGAATCAACCCTAAAGGCATTCCAATCTGGCTGAAAAGCCCAAGAGAGTATTTCAGGCATGGAAAGCCAAGACACTCTGGCAAAAAAAAAAAAAAAAAAAAAAAAAAAAAAAAAAAACCCTAAATGAAAGATCTCTGTGAGTGAGATCTCAGTGGAAAGAACGGGTCTTCAAAGAAGGAGGTACCTTTCTCTGAAGGGAGGAGAGAACCTCCACTTTGACTATGACCTTGTCTAAACAAGATAAGAGTCGGAAAACTCAAAAGGCTTCCATAGCCTTGGAAATTCATGACTGGAGCATAGGGAGATTACTGATGCCATAAACAGGAGTGTCAATTTGTAAAGTCAACAACAGGAGTCACTGTGCACTTACTCCTCATGTAGGATCTCTGTCCTTAATGTGCTGTACATTGAGATTTAATGCTATAACGAGTACTCAAACAGTATATTTCACTTTGTGTTTCTATGGAGGTGCAAACTGTTGAAATCTTTACTTAATGTATACTAAACTGATCTTCTGTAAAAAAAAAAAAAAAAAAAAAAAAAGAAATTATCAATTCCCAACTTGACTCTCACTTGTTTCTGTGTGGGAGCAAACTGTTGAAATCTTTACTTAATGTATGCTAAACTGATCTTCTGTATATTAAGTGAATCGAAAATGAATCTTGATGTGAATGGAAGGGGAGAGGGAGTGGGAAAGGGGAGGGTTGTGGGTGGGAGGGACGGTATGGGGGGGAAGCCATTGTAATCCATAAGCCGTACTTTGGAAATTTATATTCATTAAATAAAAGTTAAAAAAAAAAAAAAAGGAATAACCTCCAATCTCCAGGTAATTCAGTTCAACTGAAGGTAGGTATTCAAATGCATAAATTCTGCCTGATTTGGTAAGAAAAATAAAACAAAGTTTATTCTTAAGAGGAAAGGAAAAGACCAGCTCATACCTCTAAATTTTTCTTTTACAAAACCATATTAGCTATTTTTTGGGGGGTCAAAATCACTCAGTCAAGGAAATGGAAAGGTAAGTAAATTGTGGGTTCTTCCACAATTTTTTTTGGTTAAGTAGAGATTTTTTTTGGTTAAGTAGACTCGGCTGCTTTTCTTCCCATTCGCCTGTTTCACTCTATGATGGGTTTTGGATTTTGATACAGCGGGGTTGACATCCTCCTGATTCCCTGGCCCTCCTTCTCCCTGCCTGGAAGACGGTCACTCCTCATGGAGGGCTCCCCGACACTTCCATGCCCTGCCCAGTACTGTCAGAGCCAACGCTTCCCATTAAACAACGAGTGGAAAGGTGAGCGCCAGTTCAAGTCCCGGCTGTTCCACTTTCCTTTCAGCTCCCTAATGTTGCTCCCCACCACCCTGGGAAAGCAGCAGGAGATGACCCAAGTCCTTGGCCCCTACCATCCACATGGGAGACCCTGAAGAAGTTCCAGGCTCCTGGCTTTGGCCTAGTCTATCCTTGACCAATGTGGCCATTTGAGGAGTGAACCAGCAAATGGAAGAACTCATTCTCTCTACCTTTGTCTTCCAGATAAAAGAAGATTAAAAAAACAAAAAACAAACAAACAAAAAACAAAAAAAAACAAAAAAAAACTCACCCCAGATCAAATAAATCAGAACCTCTAGGAAGATAACCTAGGCATCAGTATTCACTTTTCATTCCTTGGGTGATTCTAAGGTGGATCTAAGTTTGAGAATGGGTACTGTAATACTCTTATTGATGTTTTCATAGTACATATTTTTAAGTTTAAAAAAATCTTTTCCAGGCTGGCATTATGACACAGCAGGTTAAACCACCACTTTTGATGCTGGCATCCTATGCCAGAGCACTAGACCCTAACTGCTATGCTTCCCAACCAACTCATTGCCAATGCACCTGGGAAGGCAATGGGCTTACACCCTGCCACCCACGTGGGAGACCAGGATGCAATTCCTGACTCCTGCTTAGGCGTGGCCTGGACATGGCTGTTGCAACCATTTGTGGAGTGAACCAGCAGATGGAAGATCTCTCTTTCTCTGTGTCTCCCCGCCAACCCTCGGCCTTCCAAACAAATAAATAAATATTTAAAAAATATTTTCCATGGTAATCTCCAATGTTTTCCTTTGCACGCCAAAAATGTGGAGAATATTTTAACCTAAATCATATCCTCTCTGCTGTCTACTGCCATTTGCATCTACATTAATGCCACAATCACTTAATTATCCTTTAGGGAGACTGGATTTTGCCATTACAGATTATTTGACCCAAGACAGTAAGGGAAATTTGGCAAAGAAGGGGTTAAGCTTATAACCAGTCTGGTTGCATGCTGGGAGTTGTAGTACAATAGCACTGCCCAGCCAGGGAGGCGCTATTGGCCTCTGAAGAGGCACACAATATCCAATACTCCACAGAGCCCTGAGGGAGGCAATGTCTAACAATGTTTAATACTGCAGACATCAGAGTCAGGACGCCTGGGCTATATTATCGCATCCACTCTCTCTGCTTCTGGCAGCAGCACTAAACTTTCCTTGGGGGAACCATTCCTCTCCCATCCCATGCACTCTGGTGGGATCACAAGTCAGGGTGCCCTGCTTTCCCATAGTGAATGGGTAGGCACCTGACCGAAGCTCAGTCCATCAAACTCTCTGTCCTTTGGGGAAGAACAAAGAGATCAGAACTGGGTGTAGAGGATTCTCTGAGCATTCATATCCCTTAGCTCCAGCCACCTGGATGCCCACACTCTCAAGTTCCTGCATTTCTAAAGCTTGTTTAACCTTTCCTTGGATTCTGGGGGGGGGGGGGGGGGGTGTCACTCCATCACCATGACAACAGGTCCTTTTATGCTTATGTTGTCACCCAAAAGGCTCCTAAGTGACAGCTACTTCTATGTAATCTTAAAGATCTGGCCCTCTGCTCACTGCCCTTCCCAGTGAATTCTTTGGAACTGTCAGTAGTGGAGTGCCTTCTTTGTGAGACAACTTCCATATGCACGATTACTAAACCTAACAGCAACAAGGCAAAGCTGGCATTAGGGCGTCTACTTTATCAACGTGGCAGACGAGACACAGAGCTGCTGGACAACTTGCCCAAGCTTACACAGATACTAAATAACAGAAACAATATTCCAACAGATCTAAATGCTGCTTTCGATCAGCAGGTGATGGTTATAGGAATCGGGACCATTTTTCTGTCATTTTGCGGACTCCTAGGCAGGGGTCTTTAGCAGCTTCCAATGTGTCTCCCTTTGGTGGGGTGAGGGTTATAAATCAATTATAAAGACACAATTTATACCACAGCCACAACCACAACCATGCACCCATGCACGCACACACAAGATGAATGGAAATAAAGGCTACACAAAGACACAGTTACCCACATGGGTTCAAGAACTCCAATTTTGTATTCATTCAAAAGTACTTCACAAGCACTTCATTTTTTTAAAAAGATTTATTTATTTATTTGGAAGGCAGAGTTACAGAGAGGCAGAGGCAGAGGCAGAGAGAGAGTCTTCCTTCCACTGGTTCACTCCAGATGACCATAACAGCCAAAGACTTGGGCCATCTTCCACTGCTTTCCCAGGTCATAGCAGAGAGCTGAATCAGAAGTAGAGCTGCCAGGACTCAAACTGGCACCCACATAGGGTGCCAGCACTTCAGGCATTAACCCACTGCGCCACAGCGCCGGCCCCCCAAGTACTTCACATTTTTAAAAAAAAAATTTTTTTGACAGGCAAAGTGGTCAGTGAGAGAGACAGAGAGAAAGATCTTCCTTTGTCGTTTGTTCACCTTCCAATAGCCGCCACGACCAGCGTGCTGCGGCCGGCACACCTTGCTGATCCGATGGCAGGAGCCAGGTGCTTCTCCTGGTCTCCCATGGGTGCAGGACCCAAGGACTTGGGCCATCCTCCACTGGACTCCTGGGCCACAGCAGAGAGCTGCCCTAGAAGAAGGGCAACCGGGACAGAATCCAGCGCCCCGACCGGGACTAGAACCCAATGTGCTGGCGCCACAGGCGGAGGATTAGCCTATTGAGCTGCGGCACCGGCCCAGTACTTCACGTTTAAAACTGTGCTTGTACCCAGTAGATTGACCCCTGACCCACTCTTGCACTTACTAGTTTCACAAACCCTGCTCCAGGGGTGGGTGTTTGGGCTAGCAAGCAGTCAGGATGCTAGTTAAGACACCTGAGTTCCCTAGAGAGTGCCTGGTTTCCAGGCCTGACTCCAGCGCCTGATTCCAGCTTCCGGCCAGTGCAGACCCTGGGAGGTAGCAATGGTGGCTCAGGTTCTTGGCTTCTTGCCACCCACGTGGGAGACCCGAGAGAGTTCCTGGCTCCTGGCTATGGCCTGGCCCAACTCTCACCATTGCAGGCATTTGGGGAGTGAGCCAGTAGATGGGAGCTCTCTTTCTATCTCTTTGCATCTCAAACAAATAAAAAATTTTTAAAAAAATCCTGATTTATTGAGAAAACTGCCTGCAATGACACTAATTTGCATGTCTGCGTGTTTGTAATAGGAGGCAAGGCTACACTGGGTCTTTTAAGACTTCTAATAATGATTTGTTTACTTGCACAATGTGTGTTTCCTAGGCCACACCAGCCTGCGGGGGAAAACTGGAACCAGGACCACAGCACAGGCTGTTCCTCTCTCCCTGCTTTCCTCGGCTCTTCGAGAACCGCTGGCACCTTCCCCACAAAGCCTCTCTTCCTGTCTTTCTGAGGGTGTCCTGGACACATCACACCCATGCTCCCAGACATTGTACCCACATACCTCCTCCTCCTCCTCTTCTGCTCTCACTCCCCGCTGGGAACATTGGCCAGTTCCTCTGAGGTCCGCAGGGCCATCACTGTCACTATCGCTGGGCCACCAAGGCTGAGCTGCTCCTGGGAAAAGAATTCCTGTGACTTTGGTGATGTCTGGGCCATGAGCCTGCTTGGGGACACTGTTTATCACATCTTCCCAGCAGCTCCTGTGCCTTGCTCTTCACAGGGGTAGACACATGCAACAGTACCCAATAACTAGAGAGAACCCCCTCTCAAGGTAGAGCCCTCTCTCTAATCCCCCTCCAACTTATCCACCATCACGAGCAGTGGGCTGAAAGACATCTCCATCCTCTATTCACAGCCTTCCTCTTCTTCTTGTCCTCAGGCCAAGCCCAGTGCTCTCACTCCGGCCCCTGCTGGCAAAGTTGCTCTTTCTCAGGGTGCACTCGCTCCTTCTGGTGGCGACGCCAAGCTGTCATCTGCCCAGAGACGCCTGCTTCCTAGAGTAAACTCAGACTTCAGCTTAACCTTGTTTTTATTGGAGAGTGTTGCTCCCCAGGCACCAGGAGTCACACGTTCAGAATTCAAGTCCTGTTGGAACCACAATGATGGTGAAGGAGGGGGAGAGGGAGGAGAGGGAGAAAGTAGAGGGGGAGGGGGAGGGGGAGCGGAGAAGGAGGGGAGGGGAGAGAAGGGGAGGGAGGGAAGGGGACGGGAGGGGAGAGGAGGGGGAGGAAGACTTTTTTTTTCCTGTGTTAGACCCATTCTGTTGCTTCATTCTTTCAACAGCTCTATGTGATGCGTACCGTCACCACTCTCTTCACTTTACAGAGGAGAAAAGCGGGGCTTAGAAGGCGAAGCAGGCCTGCGGTCACACGGCTGGCAGAGTGCAGAGCCAGCCCTGGCTGCTACTCAGCTGCTCCTCCAAAGCTCAGCAGGGCCTCTGAGCGGCCCTGGGCCTCCTTCCAGCTGGGCTTTCATCCTTTCTAGGCTGCTGTCCCGAGGCCTCTACCATAATCCGCAGGTGCACCACCAAACCTATCTAACAGCCTCGGAGTTGGGGGGAAAGCCCTCAGTCCCCACCCTCCCACCTCCCACGGCCCTGGCATGCTCCCCTGGGCCTTCCCAGCCACAGCCTCCTCCCAGGGCCTCTCAAGACCTGCACATAGTAACCTGTCCCCTGTCCCCTGAGCACCCTCCTCAGAACAAATCCTGAAGCCAGAAAGAAGTTTCTGGGGCCCCAATAGGCCATCAGCACCCCACATTATATAGTTAAACTTTTGCCTGATCTTAGTGGGTGTTTTGATTGAATAAAGAATTCAAGTCTGGGCTTTAAATGCCATAGAGAAAGAAAAAGTTACTGTCTTTTCAGAATGCCCATTGTAATTTGACCTGAGAGACCAGTCCTTCCACCCCAGCCTCTGCACCCCAAAGTCCTTTTTTCCACTTGAACTGACCAGCTGAACCACAGCTCAGCTGCAAAGCAAGCCGTATGGGCATGATTTCTTTCCCTTATTCATTTGCCCTCCCAGCTTTACCAAGTCAAGAGTGAAACATGGGATCCGGCATTGTGCCTGCAATACTAGCATCCCATATGGGCACAGGTTCCAGTCCCGGCTCCTCCACTTCCAATCCAGCTCCCTGCTAATGTGCCTGGGAAAGCAGTGGGAGATGGGGCAAGTGTTTGGGTCCCTGTACCCACATGGGAGAGTCTGATGGAATTCCAGGCTCTGCTTCATCCTGGCTCAGCCATGGCTGTTGTGGTTCTCTCTCTCTCGCTCTCTCTCTTTCTCTCTAACTCCGCCTTTCAAGCAAATTTTAAAAACAATCTTTTTTTTTAAAAAAAGTATGATGATTTTTTAAAAAGTGACAACTGCTCACCCCTTCTTGGACTGCATCTACATAGCACACAGCTAAAGGCTGATCAAACAATCTTGATATGAGGTAGACATTTGGTCTTGTGGTTAAGACTCCACTTGGGAAGCCTGCATCCATACCAGCTTGCCTGGGTTCAAGTCCCACTCCACCCTCAATCCCAGCTTCTTGCTAATAAGTACCCAGAGAGGCAGAAGGTGATGGATGCCCCCCCACGTGGGAAACCCAGATTGAGCTCCTGGTTCCTGGCTTTGGCCTAGCCTAGCCCCAACCAATGTGGGCATTTGGGGGAGTGAACTTCTCTCTTTTTGCTTTTCAAATAAAATTTTTTTTTCAAATTTGAAAATCATCTCTGTTATTTGATATATCCAACAGTACAGTAGAGGGCATGAGTTTTCCTGTTGGACTACACTGGTCATTTTAACCAGGTCTCTGCCACAGTGTTTCCCGTGCAGGGTGACGGCTCTGCCACCATCTCTCTGTGTCCCCTCTCAGTAGCCCAGTGTGCCTATCTGTGATGCACAAGGATCTCTGAGGTCCCCAAAACATCTCAGTCTATACTTTGTAATTACAAGATGCAGCATTCACAAGTCAGCTAATTTAGGGGGTGACTCTGTGAATAAAAAGGATCCCCCATAAAATTCTCACCCCATAATTATTTTATGGAGCAAGTCTCCACTGTGCACTTGGAGCAGAATTCCGTCTACAAAGTTCTGACTGTGGCCAGCGTTTCAGTGGTATTTTTACTGTTTCAAGTGAGGCTTGCCCAGAGGTCACAGTTCCTAAAATCACCACCACAGATGCCCTCCTCCATGGGGCCCGTGATAGCGAGGGAGCAGCAGAATCTAGTTTGAAAGCACTACTTCTCTGGACTCACATTATGATGTTTCTCCCTTTCTGTAAAAAACGACGCAAACCTGTAAAATACATTCACGACTCTTCAGAGACTGGCCCCGTGATAACAACCTACAAGTCCCTTTGAGACACAAAACAGGTGAGAGAACTCCTCTGCCCAAGCCTCTAGAGGCGTCCCCTCCATCCCCAGGTCAGGAGCAGGACTTTGCACATGCTGTTCCCCGCCTGGAACACTCTCGCCAGCCTCCTGCTTCCCCTCCCTCCTTCCAGTGGAGCTCAGCTCAGTCACGGCTTCTTCAGGGAACTGGCCCTTGACTTTCCTCCACTAGGCCAGGGCCCCTTCTTACATCTCTGAGGTGCCATTTGCAGTTCATTCGGATGAGTGTGCGGCCACCATGAACAGATGGTACCTCTGTCGCTGCTGGCGTAGGCGCTCTGCTCGTGTGTTGCACTCTGCCCAGGCCCTAGCTCTCTACCATTCTGGAGATCACAATCTTCTTGGGTAAATGGACAGTAAGGAAACACAAGAAGGAACACGACTCTCACTGTCCTTCCCCGACAGAACTTACCAGAGACTCAGACACGTGCGTGAAGTTAGCATGAGGCCAGCTGTGAGAGGGGCAGGGTAGATGACAGTGCACCACACTCCCATGCAGCATGAGGTTGTGGCAAATGCATACCTGTGCCCATCAGTCCTCTTAAGATCAGCCTCAGAGGCAGGAGGAGCAAGGACCATGGGCTCACATCCCGGCCTGGCTGTGCCTGTGGAAGGATGGCCACCTTCAGCAAGGTAAGAGGCCAGGTGTCTCGTGTCTGCCATCCTAAGGGTCTTCTCATCCACTCAGACTAGATCACCCCCCTCCAAGGTCAGGGTCTCTTGATTTTCGCTTCTCTAAATGCATGTCCTTTTCCAAGGATGCAGCTTCCTTCCAAGCACCGTCACCAGCACCAACACCATCAGCATCACCCTCCCCAGCCACACAGCCTCTGCCTTTCTGTTAATTTCCATCACAATCTCAGAGCCTCTCCCGCATCTTCTGCCTCTGCCAGCCAGGGGACTAGGCTCAGCCAGTTCTCGGCTCAGCCGGGACCTCGAAGCCAGATCTCCAGTTCTGAGTCCAGCATTTTCCCCATCGTATCCACAGCCTCCTGGACTGAGCCAGGCTCTTTCCAGAGCCCCAGGAAGCCAAGGTTGGCTGCCTCCTGCTGGCAGGGAGCTCCTTCCAGCTTCTGGTGTGGCTGCCAAAGCAGAGTGGGTGTGAGAAGTGAGGAGGGGGGGTTGCATACAGAGGAGCTCCGCGCCTCTACCTCCCTCCCTCCCCGTGGAAGGAGGTGATGGCTTACACGTAGGGGAGGGAGAGGATTATGAAAATCAATAATTCGTGCCAGCTGATAAGTGTCAGGAAAGTATTTACTCACATTCATCCCCTGCAAGTCACGTTCTCCATGTGTTCCTATTTGTCTTTCAACGTTGGCATCAGCCAGGTGGACTCAGCACGAGATCCCAAGGTTTTAGCCGAATGCTGCGGAGAGGGAGTTTCATTTAAGTTCATTTTTCCAGCCAGGGCTGGCTCCGAGGCTGGTTTTTCTTACTAGGTTGTTTGCTACGCGGAAAGCAAATTCCCAGAGGTTTCTGAGATTGCCGACATCCAATGCAAGAAGACTGCTCCCACCCACTCGCCCACCCACTCACTAATAAGACATAATGCCGTCCTATTTTTGGTAACAATTAAAGGGCCTCCCGGTGCAAGCAGAAAGCTGTTTATTTTCTGTTACATCACTTTGCCTTCGAAGGCTGCTCTGTGCTCAGTGTTTTCGTGGTGATGCAAGCCGGCTCTCTCCCTCCAGCAGTCGGGTTCCTCCCATCTCACAGCACCTCACAGGTCTCTTCCCCCGAGCAGTGCGTTGCTGGAGCGAGGAGCAGCTCACGAATCAGCTGCAGGTCCCCGTTTTGAAAAGCAGAGACCCAGAGGCAGCGCAAGAGGGTGGACTCCTGTGTGACCTGGTCGTAGAGCAAGACAATCACCATCTGAATTCCAGAAGCCCTGTTCATGTTTGGGGAGATTTTTCCGACTGCATGGAATCAGAAAGAAGCCAGAGGATGGGAAATGCCTGCCTCCCCCTGAAAAGAATTGCTTATTTCCTATGTCTCTTATCTGCGCTTTTGCTGACTGAGGGGAAGAAACCAGCGAAGCCAAAATGCCCTGCTGTGTGTACTTGTACCAAAGATAACGCTTTATGTGAGAATGCCAGATCCATTCCACGCACCGTTCCTCCTGATGTTATCTCATTGTAAGGCCCGTAAGCATTTTCATATCTGATTTACGATTGAAAAATTCCAGCTGGTGTATTGGGGGCTTTGTATGGCTTGGTGGAAGGGCTTGGAGAGAGAGAGAGAGAGAGAGAGAGGGAGAGAGGAGAGAGAGAGATTCCTCTTGCACGCTTGGCCATTTGACAGAGCTAACATTTTGCTGCATTTAGGTTTTTTTTTTTTAATTTATTTATTAGCTGCTACTGAACATGCTTAGAGACTGCCTCCACCCCACCCTGAACATTATGATGAGAAACCTGTGGCAGGTTCATCTCTCCTCTTCCCCCGGGGAGGGAAACAGTACTTCATAAAATAGTGCCAACCTAGTGACTGTTATGCTAAACCGGATTAACATAAGGTTTGTTCTGTGTGTGTGTGTGTGTATGTGTGTGTCTTTCTCTTTGTGTGTGTCTGTCTGTTTGTTTTTTTCTTTTTTGCTTTCTTTCAGATCCTTTGTGAGATCTGGTTTTACTGAAATCTCAGAAGGGAGTTTTTTATTCACACCATCGCTGCAGCTCTTGTGAGAAATATTTATATCATGACTATTTTTAATATGGCATATATCTGGCTAAGCCCTCTAGTAAAGCGCTCTCTCTATCCATTTTGTCAAATATGATTCTATTGCTGAAGAAAAACGAGGGTGTCAGGAAAGTGAGAGGTAGCTGGGTTGGTTTGCGACTTCACACCACAGGTGCAGGCTGATTCTTGCCATGGTAAATTGGCTGACCTGTTATGCTCTGGGCGTGCGTGGCTATTTGTGAAGTTGTTGGAAGGTTACAGCCAGGATCCCAATGCCATTCAACTCTTTTACTTTCATTTTTAACTTGGGAACTTTGGTTATTTCATCCTGGAGTTTCTGAACTAGTCAATACAGAGCCCAGCATAACATATGCACTCAAGATGTTGTCTCAGGGGATCCGAGGCAGGCTGCTACTCTGTGTGATTTACCATGTGGGGGGAAAAAAGGAAAAACAACAGCATGCTTCTTTCTAGGTAATTCCTTGACACAGCAACTCTCAAGGGATGGTTTTCTGCTCTCATCTAATTTATAACTAGTCCCCTGACAAGGAGGGAAAGAAAATATTAATATAGGAAAGCGCCAAGGATTACACTTGGCTGTGTGTTTTGAGTTGGCCAAAAGGGAGCCACATAGTCCGTGTATGCCTGAAAATATTCAAAAAGATAATATTTGACTAAGAAATGCGATCTCTTCACAGGCATCATGGAACGCGGCTCATCTGTTCTGACGCGTAGGGTTTGGCAATCAGAGTTCAGTTCTCGGAGCCCTAGCGCATGGGGGTTGAAAGGTCTCTGTGCTCGGGTCATAGGCAACAGACTTGCTGTAGCTGAAGGGCTCCAGGGAGAATGGGCCAATTGGGGTCTACTGAGTTGGAGGTATCCTAACTGCATGATTTGGGACCCAAGATTTTGCTTGTTGGTTTGTTCCTTGCCTTCTTGGCCATTTTGGCTGTTTGAGGTTATATATACAAACAACATGGGACTGAAACTCAAGAGGTTTTCATTTAAATTTCACCCCACCACTTATTCAAACTTAGGCATATAGTCTGTGCAAATTACTAATCTTACTGAGCCTCAGTCTCCTTATCTGTAAAATGGGGATAATACATATCTTGCAGGGTTGTTACAGAGACAAATCAGATGTAGGTAGATAAAACATTTGACATATGGTATGGCAAATGCTGTAACATTTCATAAGTAGCAGAATTTTAAAAATTTACATAAAGGTTAAAACTACAAGTCACTCAATCTGTTGTTTTGTCTACATGAAATCCCAGAACTGGTTTGACTATTTCCCTGAATTCTCAAACTTGATCAGGTGTTTTGACATTATATAACCATGTTGGCTAATGTCCTTCCACCGGCTAATGTCTTCAAGTGATTAACAATTCATAGATGATTCCTTATTAATTACCACTGATAGCCAGTGGGGTGATTAAAGAAAGTGTTAACACATCAAACAAATCCAACAAAGATAGACTCTTTAATACAGACAGGGACAAAGTTTCTCTGCTGGGATCTTTCCACGGGGGAAAGAATTTGCTGAATCTGAGAAAGTGGCAAATTGTGCTTATGATGTTCGTTTGTTAAATAATAAATGGCTCATTTAAAAGGCATTCCTTTGATGTGCTCAGACACTCTCCTCCCCTAGGACAGAGAAACAGATCAGTCCTTAAAACTGGAGAAGTCACAGTCACACAACCACTCAGACGCTAGCTGGACGCTGGCTGTGACACAGAAAGTCTGGTCTGATCAACCAGATAGGTTACCACATCTCCACTCTGTTTGTTTGTGTTTTGGGTGGGCCCAGCCACAGCAAGCACAGATGCAGGGCAGTGTTATAGAAATAGTCACCGGCTGCTGCTGCAGAATGTGATTACACGCATTTAGAATCATGAGGGAAGCCAGGGGATTGGTTTTTAAATAGCCCGCACCGAGTGTGTGCCATGCCCGTGTCCCATGCCCTGAGTGCCTATGGAACATTCCAGCCCTTACTTCCAAAAGCAGTTCAGGTTTCAGAAATAACAAAAAGGCGAGTAATTCTTACCCTATACGACCTCAGTGAACTCACACTGGCTAACCTCGGTGGGTGCATTTGCACCAGGCTGATGTCATGCAGAATTGTCGGGGTCAAATTTGTCTGGGAGGCTCCAGGACCCTGCTCCTGAGGACTTTGCTCTGCATCCTTCCTGCCCAGGGTTCTCTGCCTCCTTCTCTGCGCTTACCTAATAAGCTCATTTTCACTGAGGAGGAGATAGATGGGAAGGCTCTGAATGTGAACTGTGCCATGATCGCAACAGTTGCATGGTCACATCGATTAGAAACAGGTAGGGTTCATGGCTGGCGCTATGGCTCACTAGGCTAATCCTCTGCCTGCGGCGCCGGCACACCGGGTTCTAGTCCCTGTTGGGGCACCGGATACTGTCCTGGTTGCTCCTCTTCCAGTCCAGCTCTCTGCTGTGGCCTGGGAAGGCAGTGGAGGATGGCCCAAGTGCTTGGCCTTGCACCTGCATGGGAGACTGGGAGGAATCACCTGGCTCCTGGCTTCGGATCGGCGCAGTGCGCCGGCCATAGTGGTCATTTGAGGGGTGAACCAACGGAAGGAAGACCTTTCTCTGTCTCTCTCTCACTAACTCAGCCTGTCCAAAAAAAAAAAAAAAAAAAAACCAGAAACAGGTAGGGTTCTGCCGTGCAGTGGGGCCAGCCAGTGCCCTGGAAACCCCACACAGGCGACCAGCCTCCCACTGGGACAGGAAGACTGAGGGGCCTGCTTTTGGCCACCAGCTGAGGCCTAAATAACACCAGCCATTACTTGGGGTGTGCAGCGAAGTCCGGCAGCATGTGTGACCCCTCACAGCCCAGGAAGAGACACCACTGAGAGCCAGTGGTGTTTGATTGGTGCACAGACAGTGGTTTCTTACTCTGCTATTGGGAACAGAAAGAGAAACATCCTGTTCCTATAACTTGCCTTCATCTGACGACTCTGCTACAGCCCCACAGCTCTTTCGGGCCTTCTGCAGAGGCATGATGGGAGGTACTTTGGGAAATGTCAGCCTGGGACAGTGAGGAAAACAGATGCAGTGCAAGGACTGGGAGTTACCTGGAGTGCTTGGGAAAAGATCCCGGGAGGCCGTGGCTGGCAGCTTGTGTTGGCAAATAAGAAAAACCAAAAGCCACACTCTGTAGGGAGGAGAGGGAAAATAAAACGATCCAATAAAAACTCATTGGATTAGTTGTACAGAATGTTTTTAAAGTCTCATTTAAGATTTCAAACAATAGGAAGAAAAAGCCTTTCCCAAGCAAGTTATTCATGTTTTCCGTAGGACCAGTTTTGAAACGTAACCAGTGAGAACAATTATGTGTTCTAGTTTGCTTTAGTGGCAGGGAGTGGTACTTAATGAATGCGATCTTAAGAGATGCGTTTGCACATGTGACAGCCCTAATTCCTTCTCCGCTGCAACTGGAAACCCCCAATGACACGGGCTCCTGGCAGAAGTAACTGACATTTCCAAGGAGAATAGTGGCCTCACTGCCATAGGTTTATAACGTATGTTAATGAACTCAACCTCTGCCACTCCTAGGACAGTTCCCCTTGCAAGGAGTGGATTCCAGGGTCCTTTTTCATAGTGTGAAAGCAGCAAAACCTACGACTATATATGAGAATTCAATATGACCTGAAATCAAGTTCTATTTACTCCAAGGAGATTTGGTCTTGTTTGAAGCACAGAACTGATCTTCCTGGGGAGCAAATAGCATATTAAAAAAATCCCCCATCAACATATAAGTGCATAGTTAATAAGAAATGAAAGACTATGGGGGCTGGTGTGGCACAGTGGCTTAATCTGCTGCCTATGACTCCAACATCCCCTATGAACATCAGTTCAAGTCCCAGTTGCTCTGCTTCTGATCCAGCTCCTGCTCATGTGCCCAGGAAGACAGCAGAGAGTGGCCCAGGTGCTTGTGTCCCTGCCACCCACATGGGTGTCCTGGATGGGGTTCCAGGCTCCTGGCTTTGCCTGACCCAGCCCCAGCTGTTGTGGCCCTTTGGGAAGTGAGCCAGCAGGTGGAAGATCTCTCTCTCTCTCCCTCTCTCTCTCTCTGTAAATCTCCCTTTCAAGTAAATAAATCTTTTAAAGAAAGAAAAAGTAAAAATAAATAGCATGAATGAGAGAAATAATAAGTCATCCTTACTAAGGCTTTATCATTTAGCCTTTTAAAAAATACTACTTTTTCAGAAAAAAATTCCACAGCCTATAATATTTCACAGTGATTACCACCTTTTCCTAGTCTTCCTTGCATTAGAAAAAAGAAAGAAAAATTTAACAGTTTTCACAGACCACTTAACCCAGATCTATCTTCTATGAGGGCTTTTAGAGGAATAATTAACTGGCCAGAGATGAGCAAGTTTGGTTTGTGCCCAGAAGATGTCCCCATTATAGGTAGAAAAGTAAAAAAGTGCCATCACCTTGGCTGTTTACACGTTCCCCCGTGACCCATGGGTCTGACTTCTGACTTTTTAGTGAATTCGTTCTTGTATCTGTGCATGGTAGACCTGTACAACAGATGTTTCCTCTAAAAGCAGATTTCATCCCCTCAGGTATTCAGTTGTAAGAGTCGCTCCCCCTTCTCCCTCACTGTCCACTTCCGGTTGGAGGAGTCTGCCTTAAACCGCCTAGTGTCCGCAGCCTGCTCGGCACCCAGCGCCGTGTCTTCCTGAGGCTCCCTTCTCGCTTTCACAGGCTGCTACCACGGGAACTCCAGCCCCACGCGCCCCACTTCCGGTTCTCATGACGCCTGTCTCGTCACCTTACCTCCTGGACACACAGCTGACCCCGTGGCAAGCCTGTGCTTGGAAGCCTTTAATGGTTCCCTAGAAACAGAGAAAGTTTGAACATTGGTGGTTAATAGCATTTGACTTTTCCTATCTGCCCAGAGCTATCACAGGCAAATAAAAACATCAAGGGTGACATGGACCTCTCTCTCTTACACACACACACACCCTCCATCCAGTGTCTCCTTCTGTGACCCCTATTCCCTCGGCATCTGTAGACCTTACTGATCTCTCTAGGACTGCGTGCTTTTTACAACAGCTCTTTGTGCTGTAGCTACCTGGTGTCTACCATGGGGGACCATCAGGAAGCCATGGTGCTGGGGCAGAACCTGGACCTTACGAGCCCCGAACCTTGCTTCCTATATACAAGCCTTTTGTACTACCCTCCATGCTTCCACAGACTTCCCACCAAAGACTTCTGTGTCCCTATCTGTAGACAGGCACGGTCAAGTTCACAGTCTTGGGTCTGGCACACCCTACCTGACTTCACATGCACCGCTGGTGTGGAGGTCTGGGAAGTGACCTGAACTACAGAAATGTATGAGATATTTGCCCTTGAAGTTACAGCTTCCAGCTTCTCCGACAGAGAGGTCTAGCACTGTAAAGAGAAAGCTTCTAAGCCCTTCCAAAGACCTACTGCTCCAGGCTCTCTTGTTCCCACCCTGACTTAACAATTGGCCTCCTAGGTTCTTGGGCTGAAGGCAGACACTGGCTAGTTCTCTCCTGTGAAGCATAAAATTCCATTTTGTCCAGTCTGATAGGACAACCAAAGAGAAATGTTAGTAAAAAATTAGCAAGGAAAAAAATGTTCATAAACGTAAAGATTCTGTCCATTTGCTGTCTTTGTATTTGCTTAGCTACAGCAAGGACTGTTTATTGTCTAGTTGGGAGCTGGAATGAAACGCCCTGTTTCAGCAGATACATGTTGGAGTTCTATTGTACCAGAGGTAGTGTTGGGCTTGGTGAGGGACATGAACAGCCGTGACCTGTTGTCTCTCCCCATCGTGACAGGACAGCTGTGAGCTGGTGACGATTCTACAAAGGTAGATTATATTCTGCCTGTCTTTGAATGCACGTGACAAACTTTCTCATTGTGTTCCAAGTGAGGTTCAGTCGGTCAGGGATGGTGGCGATGCTTACCAGTTGTTGATGCTGTGGCGAATACAGGCCACACAATGACTGCAGGAGCTTTCTCACATCAGCCGTGCTACCAGTACGGCTGATCCTGGTGAGCTGACAATGTGGCAAGTGCCAAAGGACGCTGGCCTAGTGCGTGAGTTCAGATCTCCACTCTGCTGCTTACTAATGATTTGGGCCAAGCTGAATCAAGCCTTGATATCAGTATGCACAAAATGTAGAGAAACCGTAGTAGCCATTGCGTGGGATTACAGTAAGGATTAGATGAAGCAATGCATGAAAAATTCTTGGCCCAGTTCCAGTCATTGGATAAACATTAGCTTTTATCAGAGAATCTAAAAAATCCCTTGAGTTTGAACTACCGTAACATCAGATTTGTATCTGACTGTATAGCTTGAGTTTACCTATAATCCCAGCTTTAAAATTCTGTGGTTCTGCAACAGGTCTCCATCAGAACCTGCTGAGAATGCTTCCTTTCAAATACTTCTTCCAGGAAACATCAACTATTTACCCATCAAAAAAAAGTAATCCTCTCGCTTCTTCCTTGTGAATAAAATAAAAACTGGCACCACGTTTTGTAAAACATGACAGATTTTGTTTAAAGTCATCAGTCCCAGCCAGTTCTCAGGTGACTAGTTCCATGGTGAGATGGAAACAGACCTGAACTGGAGTTTAGGAGACAGGGATTTAAAGTCTAGTTTGGCCTCTAATGGGCTGTGTAACCTTGAGCTGGTCATGAAACATCATTATACTTCAGATTTCATATGCATAAAAAAGATTAAATTGCAGTTCTCAAACTCAAATGCTATTAGGGGTTGGGGTAGGGAGATAGATAAAGCAAGTAGTTGGGGATGAGACAATAGGAAGTGGTGGTGACTGAAGTAAACCAGAGATATGCAGTGACATCCTCAGCTCTAACTAATGGGAGTGTGACACCATCATCTTCCTAACTTTCAGGAGACAGCAGATTTTAAAGGGTACAAAGACCAAACAAAATATCAGTTGGCATTTTGAGACCTTCACATTCAGTGACATCTAAGATCACTTCCTATCTGAAAATTCTACTTTATTGTATTCTGTTCTACAAATAGAGTTAATATAATCTAATATAATGCAGAAAATGGCCTTGTTAAAGGAATGGACACAAAGTATTCTATCAACTCTACCAAATCAGTAAATTAGATTGCTAATTGAAAGAGTCTGATTACATGGAATTGGCTATTTACTATAAAATTATTATTAAAATAATAATGTGGTTTCCAGTCTCCCAAACAGGTCCAAAGGGACTTTACCAGGCCTCTGCATGGTGGCTGATTTGTCAGTATCCCTCCTATGTGGAAGGGTTGGAAAGGAATTGTCGGACCCATTTACATACCAAGATGACAGGTGTTTGTGTAAAGTGTGATTAAAAAGCAATGAATCTTTTACAAACATAAACAGACTAAAATGTGTACGTGCAAATAACTCTTGTTCTACAGAGAATTTCTTGTAGAGAACCAAAGATTCTTCCCAACTGTGCTTCCCTGACTAAAGATTTCTGGACCCTTCTTGGAGAATTCTCTTCAGTGTCAGGTTACAACCTTATAATCAAACCAGGCAAGGTTTTGTTAGGGACAGCCATCGTTTCCGTATTGTCTAGAGCCAAGCACTTTGTATCTTCCAGTTTTTTTTTTTTTTTAAGTTCATTATCACAATCGTCTTTTGAGATAGCCACGATTCTTTCCATTTTACAGATGGAGCGCTGAGTTCTGGAAGTTAGCCAACCTCCTCAAAGCCACACCCCTGCTAAGTAGCAGAGCTGGGGTTACAAGCCCATCCTCACTTTTAACCACTTCTGTTTACTTCTTTCTGCATGTGGATCACTGAGCTTGACTCTGCATAGTTTTGTTCCCGAAATTGAATCCCTTCTCAAAGGGCCAACCTTTGCCTTTAACGAGGATATTCAAGGAGAATGTGTCCTGGATCCTGCAGACAATGACTTGAAAGGGAGTTTCAAAAGTGCTTTGAAAGAGTGGCAGCATTGCTGGAGAGAACATCAAGTTTCCCTAGGTTTCAGCTCTCATTTGTATGTGTAAGCTCAGGCCTCCTTGCTGAAATAAAGAGAAATACAGACAGAGCGAGAGAAAGAAGAGAGCAAAAGAAAACTGTCTTATAAACTTGAAATTTGCACCTTAGTCCAGTGTTGCCAAAAATTGTGCCCCATGGAATGGTTGTTCTGAAAGAAAGGCGTTCCGTGCTCAAATCTGGGGAAATGCACCTTTGTCCTTGCTTGACTAGGCGCAATGCACCTTGACATAGAAAAATCTCCAGAGTTATTTAAAGTTGTTTCATGGGTTTTTGTTGTTGTTGTTAACATCCATAGAAAGCCGGTTCTATAGAAGCTGCCCTGGGTCGGTGTGATATGATATTCGTTGTAACTATTAGCTTAGTTCTTTATACCTCACCTTGTTCTAGAGAGGCTAGATGCAAAGTATAGACAGATGGAAAGAATCCCATACTAATGGACACATTAAACCATCTGTCTCCATGGACGGAGCACCTTGGGACAATTTTGCTTGTGTGTGGTCATTGATGTGATGTCTGGGGTTCAGGCCTCCCCACCAGGCAATTCCAACTGGTCTGGCAGCTTGGCACATGCGCCGTCTTCTGGGATCTCCCAGCAGATGCTCCATCTTTTGGAGTAAATGAGAGGAGCAGTTGCAGCTCATTCAGCCAGAGAGAGACTTCTCGGTGTCTATGTGCACTCTCTGCTTTTATTGGGAACTTGTTCCCTCAAAGCTGTTTCTGACATGGCTAAATCAGTATTTCCCTGGGTATGTCCCATGGATAAACCACAACGATTATCAAAAAGCTTGGGAAACCACGTATGTAATTCCCTTTCAAAGAGCCTTCATTTATTTAAGGATAGAAAAGATTCACATGGATAGGAACCCCGTCCAACTTCTTTGACACACTTTTTCTAAATTTCAGTGCTTGTGCACCTCCGTGAAGTTCTTGTATTCCAGAGAATACACTTGGGAAATCCTAGGCAAGGCTGTTCTAGGTTTGCAGCAGATTCTGGGTGGAGCTGATGAGGCTAAAAAGAGGAAGCCGACTTTGCTCAAGGCCATCAGTGAGTCCCAGTGCAAAGACCAGGCCTAAGCCTGGAACTCCAACTCAAATTATGTTACCTCTCTCACCTTAGTTTCCTTTACATTTTATGTGGAGAATATAAGATTTACATTGCTATGTTCATTTGAAGATGAAAATGAGATAGTGTGCTGCTAAAGATGAAATCTGACATGAAATAGGATTTAGATAAAATTCAATCCCTTCTCCTTGGTATGCAGGACCAAAGAGATAAATGGTGATTTTATAAAAGCAAGAGGAGGGTGAGCTGTCCACTGGTTGTGCCAACTTTTAAAAAGTAAAACTTTTGACTATCCTGGGATGAGAGATAACAGATTATAAAATCAAGGGGTGGGGGGTCTATGCTCAGTATGCTAGCTGCTTCCTTACAGATGTAAAACTTACATCTTAATCTTGTCTCTGCCACTGGTAAGACATGACCTTGGTCAAGGCACTTAACCTCTGCCAGCCTCAGCTTCCTCATCCATAAAAGGAGGAGTTAGACTGCATCTCTCTCTGGAGTATCCTCCCACCCTGAAATTCATGTGGAGCCAAATTCAGGTTATCCTCCATCAATGCAGATTGCAGAGGTGGTAGTCTACTTACGGATCTGCTGAATTACATTGAAACTGTTTTTCAAGGATGAGAATCAAAAATAACTGTCAAATGTACTTGTGTGATACTTCCCACTTTAATGCTTTCCTGTCTTAAGAGCATATTTTAAAATAGTCAAATGTAAATTATTCACATGGCACATGCACTTAGAATGTGTGCATTTAACTAAAGTGAATCAT